GTGGACAGTGTGTGCAACGACACACATCATCATAGGAAATGATTGAACTGTACAAAGGCTGTACATCTGAAACTGGCGCGTAGGATCTCCCACATCTTGCGAATTGCTGGTTTACGTCTCGACTGGGATCTATCGGAATCGCTCAACGTGTGACCGTTACCTCCTCAGACAGTCGACGGCATACCTCCGAAGCAGAAATGGCAGAGCCGCGAGGTTTGCCCAACGGGGGCTTGCCACTCGTGCTCCGGAGCCCTCCCATTTTGTACTCCGGAGGTGTCCCAAATCTGGCGTACCTCCGGAGCAGAGATTTGCAAGCCCGCCGGAGGGGTCCCATCTGCCTTCCTGTGACGTCACCGTGGCGTCACAGGAAGGGGCCGCCCCCTCGCCCCGCTCTCAATGGTCAATTGGGTCCTCCGCAGCTTTGCCAGATTTCGACTGTCCTCCGGAGCCACGGCACCGATTGTCTGAGTTAAAGAAAATTCGAGAGGATAAGCGTTTGAAAATTAGTAGTGCGTTCAACTTCTGGAACGGGAAATTTGTCCGTAGTGATATCTATGAGAAATTTGGAAGTTTTCCAGTTTTCTAGTCGAGAGCAGAATTTTGAGGGAGAATAGTGCTTGTTAACGCGCCCTCGGCTATACTTTTGGAAGTTTCGTATTTTGAAAATATTTGGTGTTCGACTCGTTAGTGTGTGAGGTGAGCCTTCTCGTAAAACATTAACCGGCGAGCAGCTCGTGTATCATTCAATACAGCTTTTTCTAAGTTGAGAAAAAGCTGCGAATGATACACGAGCTGCTCGCCGGTCAATGTTTTGCGAGAATATTGAATTACAAGCTTTCGCGCGGAGACCTACCCGTACTCGAATGAAACTTGGAGGAAGCGTTTCCAAATCCTTAGAAATTAAGCCACGAGAAAATGTCGTTTTCCCTTTTTCAAAAGCGTAGCTGATGCAAGGCGTCCAGATTACAGTGTTGGGGACTTTTCGAGGTGATATCTACCTCATTCGTTGACAGCACGGCCTGCTCAAACGTTGCGGGCCTCATGCGTGCGGCTGAAATGTTGCGAGAGGACTTGTACAATAGCGAATTTGTACTGGGCAAGTGTTTGACCTCGCGGCGCGTGGTCCGCACTGATGTCCAGACCATGCGTTCAGCGAATCGACGATAGGCTGTAGATGAATCATATACGCTCGGAAAATTACCAAAGTCGAAATTACGAACAACACAGATCCATTCAAGTCTGAACCCATTTTGAAAAATTACTGCAGATTATTTTTCTTTGAAAAAAATGGACGTTGCCCACAGCTGCAAAACCGGATAGCCTATTAGCGTTCTGATTCTGGCAGTGGATCTGATTTAAAATCACATATGCAGCGTTCATAAGGACATATGCTTACAACCTGATTAAAACCTCAAGACTTTGGTTTGTATTTGCAGTTTCTCCCTGCTCAATCCAAATTTATTAACATGAGTAAGAAATCCTCTTTCTTCAAACACTCGAGTTTGTTCCACTTACCCTTTAGAGCATGTAAAGCACATCAACTAGTTTCAGCGATAGCACTGTACTCGCTTTGTAAACTCTTTCACACCGTTGGAACATGCGCAGTACTGCATATCAGTGATTAGAAGGAAGAAAATGATTGTGGGCATTGATCATGGATTGGAAATCTGAATCAAACTTTTGCTAGTCCGTGCTCTTCTGTTGAGTGCAATTTATAATTTCTCTCAAATCTCTTCACATGCTTGGCGAACACTCCCTATTTGTTGTGCCTCATACCACTTCCTACTCTTTCATTGGTTCTACTAAAGCTCAAAATATGTAAAAAGCAGTCGCAGCAGCAGCTTCTGGTAGCAATCTATGCGCGAGATTTGCAAGTGTGTGCCTGCACACTGCGGCAACCAACGACAACTTACTAGTAACTCGCCCAAAATTCTTTCCGATAGAACAATCCGTGGAAATGTAAACTGCTACTCAGTAGATTTCCAATGAAACTAACAAAAAAGAGAAGAAAAGTTAAAACTTCAGGATCACAACAGCCTTTATCTAAAAAGACGTGAAGTAGGGCGCACGCTATGCAATTTGCATTTGAAGATACAAATAACTCGACGGTTTTTTTAAATCTGCTATTGCATTCTCAATGGTTAGCTTCACTCAAAAAAAGTTTTTAGCAAGCGCTATTGCCGCTATCTCTTGTCACGGAATTGCTGCAGAGATCAGGAAATCAAAACCTTTGTCAAAACATTTTTCCTTCAAATGAGGAAACTGATCATAGCACAGTTCTTGCTAAAGTATGGCTGCTCCAGTTACTTTAAAGTAAGTTAACTACTTTAGTTTAGAGCATGACAATCTTGATGTTTGAACTCAAAATGTATAGACCAAATACCGAAAGATTTTGTTTCCCTAACAAATGACTTCACTCAACAGAAATAACGAGCCCCAGTAATGAACAGAACCAACTATAGTTCTTTCAAAGCGTTTGAGCTATGTCGATTTTATGAGTCTAGCTATTTAAAGAAAGACTCACAAGGCTCACAAATGTAGTGCGACAATGCTGCGACATAATTGCTGCATTAAGGCAGTGTCCCGGCAAAACTTCGTTCTCCATTTTTTCACCTTCTCGGAGCCTTCTCGCCATAAGGAATCCATATCTGGGCTTTTCAGTACATAGAACTAGTGAAAATGAGTTTTTTCCGAAGCCTTCCAGGTCCACACTTACATCAGTGGAGAATACGTGTACAGTTAGTTTCGACCCGCTTTAGGCTGAAGTTGGACTGGCGGGAGTCCGCCTCGCAACAGCTCGCGCCGTTTCGCAGCTACAGTATATCCTATCGTGTTGGAAACCCATGTCTGCGTCTCTTCAATCTCCTTAGTCTTTGCTTGGCAAAATGCCAGCGCTATGCGCTCGCGAAGCCTCCAGCGATGCGCATGCGCTGCTCCACGTAGAACGTCTCGCCTAATCCGGGATGAAACCGACTGTAAGTGGGCAGGATCGGAAACGAGGCGGGCGGGGCGCGAAAGACTTTCGACGTATTTTCACTAAATGTGGACCTAAAAAGTTCGAAAAAAAACACGCCATTTTTCTACGCTGAAAAGCCCGGTATTGGTTCCTCATGGCGAGAATGCTTCAAATAGGTGAAGAACTCTAATAGAAAGCGAAATTTTGCCGAGACACTGTCTAAACGGAAAGCAAGTCTCTATGTAATCTTAAGCACCGCTAGTATAATATATTTCGAAAAATTTTGCCATGAATCAACCGTGCTTTGGCAATCACTTCCACACTTCATGTATAGTAGCCAAGGTTATTTGAAATGTCTAATTAGCAATTATGGTACTGCAAGAAAATTGGTCACAGGTGAGGCCACTGATCTTTTCGAAGACTGGCTTGAACTTGGTTGGCCTTGCATCCTTTCATTTTAGCATCTTTTACGTTTACTTTCCATTTTGGAAACGCTAGATTTTCTCTTTTTTCCCCAAAACGTTCAGTTGAGCTATTCATTTTTATGGTCCCATCAGAAAACTATTTATTTGAGGCGAGGGGGAAGGGGGGGGGGAGGGGGAAACTCCAACTCAGCTGCGATCCCATAAACCCCGCCGCAGCCTTTTTGATAGAAAGCATAAATAGCCAGATTGCTGTCATTTTATGAAATCTGTAGCACTAGCTCGGGCCTGCTTCCACAGAATCCGAAGGATAATGGATTCAAAGATGGACTTGCCAAACTATTGCTTTGAAACAGTATTCTGAATAGTCGCGTAGATGGGTCTGAGTCTTAGCAGGGATCAACGATAAACCATGAGCTGACAACTTCAACTAGGTTAATACATGCTTCGCTTCAAATCCGAAGTGCAGTAGATTTTAAACAAAATGCACGAATAGGCGCACTGCGTTCAATTGAATTCTTACAAGTTGTATTACGGTAAAAGAAATCTAATCTCTAAGTCAAGCAGAACGTTTATATTATGTCTATTTGTATGGCCATTTTATATCACCGTAGTCATACGATAATCTCATAATTTGTCACAGTCACCGATCTCCGTCGAGTTCACCGAAATCCGCGTTACATCGCCATAGCTTATCAGAGCCGACAATTTCAAATGGGTACCATTCGAATCAGCTCGGCGAGGCGCATGTTTTGGTATACAGATCTTTCCGTTTGAAAATGGTAGATGCATGGTAGGCGGTCAAATTCTATGAATCTTTCTAGATTTTTGCTTACGGCGGGTCAAGTCAGTGCTTTTTCATAGATAATGAACCTGACCGCCTACTGTTCAGTCCACACTTCCATATATCAGAAGTGCCTCAGCGAGCTGAGTGGGACAGAACCCTTGAATTTTCATCCGCTCTTGGCCTGAGTATGTAAGACGATATAGTGTTACTACTGGATCTGATTTAAATTCTTGCCACCCGTAGAAATCTAGTCGGCAGATAGCAAGTGCTACTCTGTGTATCGTATGACTGCCTAGAGTTGTTCTTTATGGCGCACCTCGAGTGCATAGAATAAAAAAATGAAAATAAATGAAGATAATGTGCCGATGCGACGCAAACTCCGGAGAATCCCAGCGGAATGCGGCGACTTTTTTGACTAATCATGAGCGGTACTGTATGAAGGCCAGTTATATAACGCTTCCATCCCTTCCCAATACCCTAGCATGAACGTTTAGAGTTCTTGATGGGAACTGAAGGCGCTTATGCACCATAGCTGGTTCGCTAGTATTTGGCTCAACATTGACCAGGAAAAGTTTATTGATCAGTCAAATCCTCAAGGGTATATATATACCCAAATGAGCAAGGAGCATACGTAGGTGAGGAAGGAGAAAACGCAGGTGAGGAAGGGGTATAATTCGTGCGTTTCCTGGAGGTATCGGAAGCCATCGATTGGGGATTATCCAAGCGCAATGCAGACTTCGGAACGTGTGTGCTCATAGCAGTCCCCCACTGCACCATACAGCAAGACAGATCATCCCGCTAAATCTCAAATGAAAAACTGAAAATTTAATCGAGACTAAAAAATTACCGCATTTGTCACTTGTCCTCTCATATATGGCATATGTTGCCTCAGCGCTATCCAATCTCCACGTTCGGTCAGTATTTTATCGACATCGACTTTAGTGACTGTGGCTGTGGGACCAACATAATGCTCCGCGAGACTTCCACAGGCTATACAACGTGAATTTTCTTCGCGATACCGTGCTTGTTCACGCTCGTACCAGTACCTTGCAAACACCAATATTCTCGAAAGAAAATAGCAAACTGTATCACAAAGCTTTACCGGCAGGCCACAACTAGTTGATACTACCTGACAAGATACTTCCAGTAATTTTCGATGACACTTTCCCTCCAGCGCACTACATCACCAGTTTTGATGTCTTCTACAGAGCCTTCGTCGACTTTGTATGCGGACGGGCAAGACATGCACATCTTGGCAAGACCATGGAGGTTGTAGAACTGCAAATCACAAGATAAGAAGGCATTTACACGCTTCTCAACTCACTTCAGCTTCCTTTCGAAGAGCTTCTCGGGCCTCACTTCCATTGGGAAGAGTAACATTTTCACCGTCTCTCAGGTAATCTAGTACCTCAAACTCAAAAAATCAACTTATTCTCGAAAAAGTAAATCATGCATCACTTTTGCAAAATATTTTGGATTCCTATCCACGAAAAACTCTTCCTGGTTTCGCCAGCGTTCCGTCACCATTGTGGAAAGCAACTCAAAAGATCAGTTATGTCGAAGAATAGCGAAGGCAAACTCTTTACCGTATTCTTCAGCCTTGTCAATGTGGAGACTGTAGTTTCGAACACGACCCCACCAACATTGATTTTAACTCGTCCACCATTCTTCTGATTACTCTTTCCCGCCTAAAATAATCTCCATCGATGGAAAACTGAAAACACAGGGTACGAAGGGTCAGCGTTAAACTTACCATTCTTTGCCGGCCGCGTTTCCTGGCAGTTGTGGATGAGGATCGATGCAACGCCATCTGAGGTGACAACACTCTGAGCGGGTCTCAGCGCGAAATCTCGCTTGCGTAGGGTTCCTGCACAGATTTCTCGATCAACAACTGCTGACAACCTCGGTCATCCGAATTTGTGTGTGCCACTTGGTCAAAAGGCGCTGAAGGCCCATGACCCTGTGTACACTATTGCAGCTTGTCATGCAATGTTAGGATCTGTTGAAAAATAAAATCCAAGAAATGCTTCCAGACCCATGGAGTTCCCAAATTTTTTTGGAGATTCTAACTCCACCCTCTCCACGACGAACTTAGGACCGTCTTTGTCAAGTACCCTTTCCTATGAGAGCAACACATGGAGCAAATTTTTGAGACAATTTCGATTTTCCGCTGAAAGGAGTGAAGAGTGGTGGTACATCTTTTTCCTCGAGCATGGTTGGTAATTTTCACTGACTTAGACTCTCTTTACAACCTCACTTGAGCTTGCTTCCAATCTTTGTTTATTCAGTGTTTCCCAGGTTTTTTTTTGGCCAAGGAAGTCAAAAGATCATTTGTTAACAGGAGATGGGCGCTATTCCAGTATACCGACCCCAAATATTAAAAATCTCGGATTTTGCTCAGACTCGGTATAGGGGGGGGGGGGTTAATCGATCCGCTGATGCCAAATATCATATCGATTCCGTGCGATAGCGCCATTTTCTGGGGGTTACGGTGGGTATACGGTAGGGGGTCAAAATCACAAAGTTCTCTGAAACTCGGTAAGAGGGGGTTATCCGACATGCTGAACACGAATTGCTGAACGAAATCACGAACACCATATTCATTCGTTACGGTAGCTCCTCATTCCGGGGTTATGGTGGGTATACGGTAAGGGGTCAAAATCACGATATCAGCTGAAACTTCGTGTAGGGGGGTTATTTGACATGCTGATCACGATTATGATGTTTATTAGTTACGATAGTGCCTCATTCCGTCATTACGTTGGGTATACATTATCAATACCACCGCCAGATCGAGATTCAGGGCTTGAAATCTCAGTCACAAGTCGGAAATTTCCTCCCCCTTCTTTGCTTAGGCAAAAGCCGCCGCAGGGTGTATCGCGCGCGGCGGTGGGTGTGGAAAGCAGTGAATTAAACCCTCCTACAGGTTTTAAACACTTCCCTTATAAAGCTAATGCATGTCCATCTTCGAACAAATGTGGAGAATGCAAGGCCTGCAGAAATCAGACATGTAAATGCTACTGCATGACGAAGGCAACAGCATTACTACATAGTTGAGCGGGCGCGAACTCGGCGCGCGCTTATCTTCACCGTTGTAACTTCTGCGCCTTACGCGCTCTGCGGCTAATGAAGCCGCGTTCGCGCCCAAAGGTATTGCGCTTTCGTCATACGCAGCCTTTACATGTGCCGGGTGTAAAGCACTGCAGAATACTGGAAAAAGCAAGCATGTGAGGTTCGTGAAAGGAATTGTGACGGGGGTAATAGCACTAAATTTTGTTTTAGCCGTACAAGCTGCATCCTCATTTGTATAGAGAAACATATGCCCAATCGCAATCGCCTCAGTGGACCATGGTTTTTCGCACATGCAGTTGCAAACCGTGTGCTAGGAGCAAGACGTCGACACAGCTACCCACTTGATTCGTCCTCTACAACCCGCCCCCGCCACCTGATTGTAGGGCACACGCCATACGTGATCCACTTGATCCGCTTGGTCCAATTGTCTACTTCGCCATTGGTCAAAATGGTGAACTGACCAATGGCGACGCGGATCTCTGAATTGGCTAATAACGAAGCGAACCAATCAAGCGGTGATCAAGCGGATCAAGTGGATCAAGTAAGGCGCGTGCCTATTGGCATGCTAGAGAGGCCCGCGTGAGACCGTTCACTGTGTGACGCATTGATCGAAAAAATCTGTACGAAAGACCGCTTCGCGAGCACATGCACGGGTCAGCTACCTTTTTGAGCAGGGTGCAGCTTGTGCACCCGAAAAGGTACGGGCGCCTAAATTCACCCACCTACTGATGTTGCAGATCATCTCAAAGGCTTGCTGCGTTGTTCGATTTGACAGCGATCGGCGTAAGACCTCTATCAATGTCTACTCTTGGCAACATCGGTGTAGATTTCTTATGCAATCGCAAATAACTGCCAATAATATAGGCTGCATTTCCGGATCGAAATCCCAGGATGCTTGATAAATTCTCACCTGGGGCCTGATTATTTCATTTTTCATATGAATGCATACCCTCCACACCCTGCACTTCCCATCTAGTTTGTCGCTCTTCTGCATGCATATCTTGAGAACATTATGCTTTGTGAACATGACCACAAATTACGTCTGTTATTGTGAACGAAAACTCGGAGTATGCGCATATTGTTCAATTTGTGCAATCGCACATGACAGGATATGGAACGAATAGACCAATCGAATAGTTCACTGACGCATGAATCTAATTGTAAGCGACATGGATTTTTTCTCATATCATATGATCTGGTGATAACATTTGTAATATACCACGTTGAACGAGTAAAACTTTCCAAATACCTATTAACTTTCTCTTCCTGTTCTTATATGAAGAACTGGCAATCATCGGAGTCGTATGGTAGACGGACGTTGATTTTTGTGAAGTTGTTTTGTTGAAATAAAGAATTACTACGTTTATCCGGTGCCAAAAACATTACAGAAGTTTGAGGAATTGGCACATGTTCTTCTGAAATATTTGTATCGTGCTCTTATGGCTGTTCTCCAAAAATGCATCCAGAAATGCGTGCGCGGGCCCGTTCCAGCGCCGTTCCAGCACGTGCAACTGCCGCATCGGTAATGTGCTAACGGATTTCGATCTGTCTGCACATTGCCGTTCCGGCGCTAGCACGGCGTTCGCACGGTGCTGACTCCCCCGCACACGAGCAACTCTAGCGCAGCTTCAGGTAAATCAGAAAACAAATGGCTCCGAGGTGGGAACACAAAGTTGGCCGGAACTGAAAGAGACGAATTCAAAGCTCTACAGCGTCTTTACGTTGTTCTAGCTTACGAACTTAGAACTGTAAACTTTTGCCCAGCTAATCACTTTGTGTGTAGCAGTGAGAAGAAATACTTTTGTCTGCTCGGGATGACTACGGTCTGGGTGAAAGTCTAATGGTGTCTTGGCAACAAATGAGTGTCCTGTAAGAATCCAATGGTATCGCCTCCAATCAGACCAACAAGCTTTCGAAAACCTGAAAACGTAAATGTGTGTGATGTTCCGTTTCCACTTGTGAACCGGGAAAGGAAACATTCTTCATAGACGCTTGCAAAAAATTTCGCAGCGACAAATGCGAAATGCGCTTATCTGATGGGAAATGTAAAAACAACCGCACAAATGCCTTTTGCGATATACCAAGGCATATATCCATCTTACCACTCGCACACTGAACCCACGTCAATTCTTGAAGTTGATTTAAAAAGTTGAAGTTTAAAGTTGATTTCTAGCCAGGTCCCTTGATCACCAAATATCGCTCAAATTACCGAGTTTGCACTGCATGCGAGCAGAGATAATTTTTTACAACCTCTGTTTAACAAAGTGAGCTTTACTGTGGCAAGCACATTCATAGAATATTCATCAGTGGCGGTCGAAAAAATGTCAGATTTGTTTGAAGAAAGGTTCTTACCAATCCTCTCTGGAAAAATTTTTTGAATTGTTTTCCAAATTGGCGAGTTGACCCGAATGACGACGGCCCTCTCAAAAGCATATTAGTGAGTAAAGGTCTAATTCAGAATTAGGGTTCCATAAGGATTAGGGAATGTGCTCTCAAAAGTTTGTGTGGAAAAGGACATTGCGGAACTTTTCGAGCTACTCCAATTATATTCTTGTAATGATTTAGTGTTTTCGCCACCTATCACAATTATTGAAAAATGGAATTTGGGGCCTTTAGGACATTATATAACATAGTCAGCGCTGTATCGGCTCCCCATTTGTTCTCACTCTCCTTCTCATACAAGGTGTGGAAATAGTCCATTTAGTTGTGTCTTCTCTCCTGTAGGTGATGTGGGGCACGTGCGTCGTAGATAGGTTTATTGGCCACGAAGAGTACGTACAATTGAAGGCGAGCCGCTGACGATGTCCAAAGGGCAAAAAGTGAAACAAACTCAAGAAATGAAACCATCAACACATTTTACAACACGTCATACTATCATTGATAAACTGATAACATCGAGTATCTCTTCTTCACACGCCCCTCCTCGAATAGTCACCTCCGGGGACTTGCCCGTGATACCGTCCGCGCTGCTTCATATTTGCGGCTTGCTCCAGGCTCATCTTCATCAGCTCCCAAATGTGCGTAATTTCCGGCTTCGGCAGTCTTCTTCTGTTCACACCTCCGTCGTTTCCTTGATCGGCGCCCATTTCTTTCTTCTTCCTGTTCCGTAACTTGAATGTCGGTCAATTCGATGCAGCTTCTCGAAGTCCAAGGTGCGTTGTGTAACTTCGTAATCGCGTCTTCCATTGGTTCATGGTGATCCATCTCCTTGGCGTCGTATTCTGCTAACGCCATGTTGGCTCGCTCCTCGCAAATACCGCATTCGCAAGGATGGAGGCAATGTAGCAAGTCCAGCGGCTCTCCGACCTCGACTCTGCAACACGAGACTTCAGAGTTCGAGTTTGTAACTTTTCTAAGTCTACCCCTTCTTGCTTTGCCCTTAGCTGCCCTTTCAAGCTTATTGTCAACATTCTGGGGCTTACTTAGCTGATCCGGAACGCGTTCAGGCTTATCATTCGCCTTTTTCTGCTGCATTGAGGAGCTACTACTTTCACTCAATTCGCTCACTTCAGATGGCCCTGTCCGGACGGTGACCGGCTTAAGGTGTTTTGATGGAGTTTTCTCCGTGGCCCCCTTCATATCCACCCGGTCGCCTGAAGTCAACGGTCTCTCGTTGACTTTGCTGTCTCTGAATGAGAATTTCTGCTTCCGCACCGGTTCATTTCTATTTTTCCTTGATCGCTGAAGAGGACGAGGCACTCTTTTCGGTGGATTCGATGTCGTCCGCTCTACAACATT